GAAATAATGTCCTTTCATTTCTATTCATCACAGCTGAGAGCCTTGTCAAGGACACGACTTGCTGCCTGTACTTTGATATTGCTATTAAATTATTGGGTTTCTTCTGCATTTCCAGTAATCCCTAAAGCCAATTGTGACATTTCCTCAATTCCATACATCCAGCCTAAATACCTCTATTTGTCTCACTGTAATTATGACACGTTGGCAGGGGATTTTTTTTTTATTTTTTTTTATTTTTTTTTTCGGGCTGCTCCAAGAATGACAAATGGATTTTCCTCCCAGTGCAATTTCAGCCTCAGCTCCCCATCCCAGGCTAAAATTCCCTCAACATCTTCATCAGATCCTGCAATAAATCCCCAAATGGTTTGGGTGGGATGGGACCTTAAGGATTTCCCAATCCACTCCCTGGATCAGGATTTTCCAAACCCCATCCAACCTGGAATATTCCAAGGATGGAGCAGCCACAGCTTCTCTGGTCCAGAGTGCTTGGCCTTAATTAGTCTGGTCTAATTAAGAGTTTTAACTCAACGAGTGCTGGGTTTGTTCTAAGTCTTGCCCCACTCATTAATCAAGCCCAGGGTTTTTTTCCTGCAGGTTTGGGATTATCCCAATGCACTCCCTGCAGGGCAGGGACACCTTCCCCTCTCCCAAACCCCATCCAGCCTGGAACATTCCAAGGATGGAGCAGCCACAGCTTCTCTGGTCCAAGTGCTCTGCAGCCTGGTTTAATTAAGAGTGTTAATGATGACTTAAAGGGTGCTGGGTTTGTGCTGAGTCTGAGCAAGCCTTGCCCCACTCATTAATCAAGCCCAGGATGTGTTTGCTGCTGGTTTAGCACCTCGTGAGGACTGGGCAACGTAGCAGCCATTAATTATTAATTTCCTAATCAATCTCCATCCATCTGCCTGACTTGCCTTTAACTCGAAGCCACAGGAACGGATGGAATTCCCACTGAAATTCCTGGGGGTGGCCGGAGCAGCAGGGGCTGGGTGTTGTGACCCCCGTGTGGAATTCCAAGGGCACTTTGTGAGCGGCTCCCTCGGCTTCCCAGGCAGCTCAGAAATGCCCGGGATGCTCTCGCACACGGAGAGCTCTGAATGGGAGCCCCTTTGCCGAGGCTGCAGCTGCAGCAGGAGCATCCCCTCGCATCAGTGGAGCTTTGTTCTGCCAGGGGAGGAGCTCCCAGGGGCTCTGCCGCTCTCTTTGTGCCCTGCCAAGCCGTGCCCCACTCCCAAATGTGGGGTTGGTGCTCGGAAATCGCGGTTCCCAAAAGGGCAGCGGGGATGCAGAGCCCTTAGGACACGATGTGGTGTTTGGGTAAAGTGCTCCAGGAGAGTTTTGGGGATGTTTCCTGTTGGAGTCGGTAAGTTAGGAGTGCAAGGATTGAATTAAAGTCTTTGAATGGAATAAGTGAATAGATAAAGTGAATAAGTAAGTAAATAAACTAAGTTTTAAGTGCTTTTAGTGAGTAAAAGGTCTTAGATGCCTGAGAAGTAGGACATGTTCTGGTAAAAGTTAAAAAACATTCTAGTGTTTCCTTAGAGGCTCCAAAACCCATTCCAGGATTCCATGATTCCCTGGCTGTAACTCCCCCTTCCTTTCTCCTTTAGCAGAGAAATATCAAATTAAAGGCTCATTTGTGAATATTGGGGATATTGTGAATATTCCCTTTATCTGCTCCACTGAGTCCTGCCTGCTGAAAACCTCAACAACCTTCCTGAATTTCTTAATATTCTTCAGATTAAATCCAGTTTGCCGTGGCTGCAGAAATCCAGGGATTTCTGTCTGCTTTTTTTTTTTGGGATTGGAGCTGAAAGTGAAGCTTGTGGTGTAAATAAAGGGAAATGCTGTATCCAAACCCTCATTTCCATGTACTTGCTGTTTGGAGTGGCAGGATGAAAGGGATGTGTCCCAACCTTTTTATCCCACCCCACTTTGTTCCTGGGGGATGGCAGAGGGCTCCTTTCATCTGCAGGATTATGGAAATGGCCCCACCAGCTTGGCTTGACATCGGTGCTTTTATCTTTTGCTTCAAGTTTGGAAGGATTATCCGTGCTTCCCTTGTTCCCTGTCTGGAGATTTGATGGGAAGTGAGAGCAAAGAGCAGCTCCTTGCTGGAATTGCTCAGGAGAAATGATGAAACCCAGGAGAGAGGAAGGGAGAGGGAAATAGGTGCCAGCTGGGTGTTGGTGATGACCCCACAGGTTCTGGTTGTACCTGGATCCTTGTTTTTGTCACCTTCTCCCCCCCCAAAAAACCCTCCTTAAACAGAAAACTTGGCACAATTCCCAGTTTCCCAGCTGGAATGCCAAACTGGGGATCCATGGAAGAAGAAGAGCTCAGAGGGTGTGAGCAGAGAGACCCTGGCACAGCTGGCACAGCTGGCACAGCTGGCTGGTTTGGGTCTGGGTTTTAGAGCCCAATTCCTTTGGTTTGAAATTTCCTGAACCAGGAATTCACGTTGGGAAGGATTTGAGGAGTCTGAAAATTGGGAGGAACGGGAAGAGAGAGAGAGAGAGAGAGAGTTTGGATTGGGAATCTCTGCTCTCCTGAGGAGTTTCCTCCTGGTGAGCAAGGGCTGGACTGAGGGAGTGGCTGGAGCTGTGCCAGGGGGGGATGGGATGGACAGCAGGGAAAGGTTCCAAAATTCCACAATTCCCAGGGAATTGTGACATTCCCGAGGCTGCCACAGCTCCAGGAGGGTTTGGACACCAGGGATGCCCAGGGTGGGATTGTTGGGGGGGGTCTGTGCAGGGATTGGATGATCCTTGGGATCCCTTCCCAATATTCCCAATATTCAGGGTATTCCTTGGGGGGAATCAATGATCCACTCAGAATATTCCATGAATATGAAATTCCCAGTTCTCCCAGTGCCAGGACAGGCACAAAAGGAAACTCTTCCCATTTTTATTTTATTTTTTTTTTTTTTTTTTTTTCCTCTGTGCTTGTGTCTGTTGCTCACAACAAACTTTGCATCTTTCTTGTTTGTTCTCGCTTCCAAATGCAGACAAAGCAAATTCGTCCTGGGTGAAGCCCAAATGAAGCAAACTCTGATTTTTATGGCTGATTCTTGTATTTGCCTCTAGTGCTTTGTTTGTGTTCCTTGAATATTGAAATAAGATTCCCATCTAAAGCAGAGCACCCGGGAATATCTCCCTGTAACAGCAAGGATGGGGATGTGATTTTGGAATGTAACATTTTTATTGCCTTTCCCTTTTTATTACCACTTTTGCTGCCATTCTTGGCCCAGAATGTCAATCCTTCACCTTTATTCCTGCTTTTTTTTTTCGG